GAGCCGAAGGCAGTCGCTTAACCAACTGAGCCACCCAGGCGCCCAAGAAGTCCTGTCCTATTTCTAAGCAATTGTATTCAGGGTTATCAATAAGATGTGGGTTGAATTATCTCATCAGATAAATAAGGGAATATTTTTTGGAAGCCTTTAAGCATACCTTTGGAGGGAAGCAGCCATGCAAGAATTCTGAAAATCCGCTTGTGGCATTGAGTGAAAGAGCATGCCGCCATTCCAGCCTGCAGTACATTCTCTGAGTGATGACAGGCGTTTTGAAAGTGCACGGGGACCTGCCTGACATGTTGATAAAATCATCCAGGAGATTTTGCAAGAGCTAAAACACCGAACCTGCTCTCTGAGACCTGGCCTGCGTCTCATGTGTGCATCTCTGGTTGGATGGAACAGAGCAGGTGTCACTGGGTCCTAGACTTGGTGGAGCAGGACATTTGGTTCCAGGCATTCAGGCAACAAGCATTCCAAAAACAACTAGGGAAAAGGGGCTACAATTAGCCTATGAATGACTTTTGAAAATTGTTTTTAAAAGTTGTTTTTGGTTGCCATTTTGACCTCGTTGGGGATAAAGCAGGACCAAGAAGCCCTGGCGCTCTTGTGTGTCTCATTCAGCAATTTGCTGAATCACATGGCAAATTTAAATTTGGGGGTACTGAACAGCCCTCCACAATAGTTCGTTTGGGAAGAAATTGATAAAAATTAGCATTCCTGACAATAATTCACAGACTAAAGGATCAGAAAAAAGAGGAGTAGTTCATTTGTTCAAAACTGTTGAATATACCAAGACATGTAAGTTCATTAGCACCATCCCCCATCCCCCATGAAGTTGGGCTATCTGGAAAGGTCAGGCATGGACTGGTCTTGAGAGCTCAGCAGTGAGTGGGCCCAGTGCCTCACCCCATACACGCATATGTAAGGCAGGCCTCCAGAGCTCAGGTTCATGTCACAAGCCCATGGGAGTGTGCACACCCACAGGGCTGTCCACAGTGAGGCACCTAGGAAGTCCGTCCAGCACCCCAGCACTCCAGGACTGGAAAGGACCTCAGGGGTCACCCAATTGAATGAATCTAAAAGTGAGCCAAATCCCTCTGCAGATTTCTTCTGGGGGAGAAGAATTGTCCAAATCTGGATTTTTGAGAGTCAGTTTACTTTTTGAAAGCCACCAAAATTACTCAAAGCCAAATCTAGTGAATAGAGTACATGGTCAGGACGGACAAATGAAAAAGAAGGTGGGGCCATAAGATGACAAAACTGGTTTGCTCGAGTGCCCCACAAAGTGGTTCTGAGAGGTTAATTCCAAAGCACCTAGAGGAACATCGGCTTCTCACACTGCTGCTGTGGTCACAACCTCCCTGAGGGCAGAGAGAAAGCTCCTGTCAGATATTTATGTATGTATGTATGTATGTATGTATTTTCACGTCAGATCTTTAAAAGTGTGCCTGCTTTTTGGCCCAGAAATTCAATTTCTAGGAATAAGGAAATTATTGAGATGGTACACAAAAATTTTAACCACTAGAAAGCTGGATGCAGCGTTAATAACAGCTTCAATATTGGGAGTGTCCGGAATGTCCACCCGTAGGGACCGGCTAAATGGAAGAGGCCATATCAAGTCAACACACTGTGCAGTGAAGCAAAAGGATGCTACTGACATGTCTCTATCAACTTGCAAAACTGCTCGTGTTCAATGAAAAGAACAGGTTATAAAACAGTGTCAGGATATGATCCAGGTTAAAGTGTGTGCATATGGGGAAGGGATAGGAAAGCATATGGAAAGACATTATACCAAGTGGTAAATGGGTGGGTGGGATGGTGAATATTTCCACATTTCTTTTTGGCTTGTACCTATTATGATTGTCCTGTAATGAAAACTATTTTTATAATAAAAAGATAATAAAAGGAAACATCACAGAGAGGAGAAAGAGGTTCTACTATGCTTAAGGAGGAATTATGACGTACCTATATTCGTTTGTGAGGGTTCTCATAACAAAATACCACAAACTGAGCGGTTTAGTCAACAGCAGTGTATCTTCCCACGGTTCTGGAGGCTGGAAGTCCAAACCCGAGGTGGTGGTGGTGTTGGTTCTCTCTGAGGGCTGTGAGGGAGAATCTTCCAGGCCTTTCCATAGCATCTGGCGGTTTTCCTGGTGATCGCTGATGTCCCTTGGGCTTCTGCTGTATCACTTCAATCTCTGCCTTCCTCCCCACATGGTGTCCTCCTCGTGTGTGTGTGTCCACACCCAAAGGTCCCCTTCTTATAAGGACATTGGCCATATTGGATTTGGGCCCACTATCCAGGAGGACTTCATCTCACTTAAATCTGCAATGACCCTATTTTCAAATAAGGCCGCAATTTGGAGGTACTGGGGGTTAGAACTTCAACATACAGATTTTTTTTTTTGGTGTGTGGGAGGGACACAACTCAACCAGTAATAGTACCCTAGTGAGATGGCCGCACCGCTTCTACCCAACTGGAAATAACGCTTACCTGCCACCTCAGCCTGCGCCGGCTGCTAAATAATATGAGCAGGGGCCAAGACCAGGAGCGGTGGGGTCGGCAACTGACATCCCTGCTCGATTGTTCTGTAAACCTAAAACTACTCTAAAAAAATTGTGGCTATTACCTTAACAATTAAAGTCAAAAACTATATTACAAATAATGACATTTACAAGGGATCACATGCTTAGTCAGCTACCCAAAAGGGGACTCTGGCAGATAAAAGTTTGGGAAACTTCAAGAGTCAGCCCTTTTTCAAAGGCAGTTGAGAAGATACAGATGACCAAAGTGTGACCCAGCAGGATCTCCAGGATTCAAACAGCCCGGGGCCGTTCACACCTATCCCAGACTCAACAAAGCCCTTCTAATCGAGCTTTAAAGTGGTGCGGGGTGGGGGAGGGGAAGAGGAACCAAATTCTTATTCGAAGAAATAACAATTTGGAACGTGCACAAGAGTGTCAACAAGTTATGTAGATCTTATCAGCATCGCATTTTTGGTGCCTCCCAGCTATCCAGCGAGGCTCCATCAGCCTGTCCGCATCCTTCAGCGTCCCACGCATGGCGGGCATATCAACACCTTGGGAGGCTCTGCTGTGGCCAGGCCTGCCTCCCCTGGGCCCCCGAGGAGCACACATTTTCTCTCTCCTCGCAGAATACCATCCTACCATCCCCTCGGTATGCACAAGGGTCTTGGGTCCACTTCTCTGCGCACAGCCCGTGACGTGGTTAGGGCTAAATATAAAACTGAACCATACCTTTATGCTAACTTTGGAAAGAGTACCTCAGTTGAGAAAATCTGATGTGCTCACATCTGAAAGGTAGTTTCAGTACTGTGAGGAGAAATTATGCAAAGTCGTTGTCAAACTGCAATCGGCTTAAACTAGGTGTTTTTACATTGGCAGATAAAAACTTCGTGGTTTTACAAAATTGTGGATGAGGGACAGGGCATGAGACTTTGGGGATCCCTCTGCCCACCTACTCCCTCCACAGAAATAAAGCCCTCGTGGTATATGCATTGCTCCATGATAATATAGCCTTTCAGATGTAAATTTGCTAAATGATGCCAAAAAGCGTTTATTTAGACCAATGAAAATGATAGTCTTTACCATACATCTCAGCTCTCTTTTACAATTACCTGTTTATTAACATTAAAGTCAGTGAATGGATCTCCTTGTTTGTGTGTTTGTTTTCATTTTTAGGCAGCTTTAAGTGCCTTGAAACAATTTTCTGAACAAGGACTGGATCCAATGGAAGGGGCAATGAATATTGAAAAAGGTTCTCTTGAAAAGTGAGTAAATCTTCTGCTGTATTCTTACATTTCTAATTTTGTAACTGTACAGAAAAATAAGATATAGATGACAATAAGGTAAAAAACCCTCAGGACAACAATATCTATATCTTACAGAGTTATTCGTAACACAATTAAATGTAAATAAATGAGAAACAGTAGCATATATGGTCATTTTCATTTCCCATAGTACATCTGTGAAAGTTTTAATCTACTAACTGATCACTATTTCTGCATTTTAATGCCTTTGTTGGAAATATTTATGTGAGTTTTGTTGGCTATAGAGACTTGCACAACTCTTAAAACATCGGTTTTGGCTTCATACCACTGAGCTTTCTTCTAGCTAAACCATTTTCCGAGGTACACATTTTCACTCACACTCCTGCTAAGTTGTGGGCACAAGAGAGAGAAAAGGCAAAGCAGCTGAGAAGAGGTATTCCCTCCTCTCGACTGCATTTTCTTTTTCACGGTGTTGCAGAGACACAAGCCGGCATTACCACCCGAGAGTGGCTCCCAAGGGCTGCAGAGGCGAGAAGGCAGCTGGAGCGAGTATTTCTGAATCCAGCTCGTGGCCCTTTTATGATATTGAACGTCAGGTCTTACCTGAGAGACTGAAGTTTAGGTCTCTCTCAGAGGCCCAATTTATACTAGAGAAATGGAAAGCAATTGCATTTCCACGGTGGAATCCGAACTCTTTCCAAGCCGTTAATAATTGCAGGTGAGATTTCAAAACACACATTAGAGGAGATAACATTTTTGAGAATGAAAAAAAAATATATATATGGATAACCCAGCAAGTAAAAACCAGATATATTGATCCTCCTGTTAACAGCCAACAGCACTTGGTCATTAATATGTAAACGGTGAGAGCGTGAGAAGAAAACATTTGGTAAACAGACCTGGCATTTGAAGTTGTCTATAGATTGGCAACCATTTATAAGCTAATTTAATCAAAAACATTTCCACATGATCTCATCAGTAGACTATCTGAACATAAATATTGTTGTTTCACTTTAAAATGTCACTTTTGTGGTGACCTTTGAATCCTGTGTGCCATCTGCTAATAAACATGTCTGAAGACGTGCAACCCTGGGCCTTCAGCTCTTGTTAATGTATTAATCTTCCAGACAAGCCCAGCATCTGGGAGAGAAAGCGGACAATAACCAGACACACCCGGGCTCCATCGCTCAGGACTGCAAGAAATCAAAGTCGCTCATCTAGCAGCTCCCAGAACCGCGGCTGCCACCGCATCCTTATAAACCTGTCAGCACGCATGAGGGTGTCTGTGTTCAAGGAAATGAATGACTAATACCATTATTTGAGTCTTACGTGAAGACAACACTATTCTAACACGAGAGATAATATACATAGCACTGTTTACTCAACTGGGGAAAAATAAAACTTTGAGCGTTTCCCTTGGAACTTGAGATCAGATCATAACTCATTGGCCCAGAGGCAGCAGAAATCTGATCCTGCTACTGGAGCTTAAAATAACAGTTAGTGAGAAGTGTTAGAAACAGAGGTAAAAATTTTAAATGATTAATAGAGAAATCGGGTTTGGTTCTGTTGTTATGATTGTTTTGTCGTGGCGCTTGTGTTCAGTTCTACTCTCTCTCTCTCTCTCTCTCTCTCTCGTTTTAAATAATGCTTGATGATTCAAAGATTAACCAATGACGTGCTGTGGAATGTGATGGTTGTTGTCTTCATATAGAGTCACGCGGTTTCTCTTTTTATGCCGATATTTGTAATCTTCATCCTGAGTATCAATATGAGTAACTTGAAGGCGCACGCCTCAAAGATGTATGCAAACAAGCAAGGTTTAAATCAGGTCAGATATTTTATTTAAGATACGAAATAACGTTAGGAACAACTCGTTTCAATGTACTCCGGGAATCGAGCGAAACCAGCCCGCTGTGGGTTCTGAGCTCCGCAATACTAGGAGCCACTAAGGAGGCGTCTTGCCTCCACACCCCGTTTCTCTGGCTTCCACGTTCTGCCGTGGAAATCGCACCCAGCCTCATCCGTGTGTCGTAGCCACTCACTGTTTTGCCTCGAGCGTGTTCTTAGTAGCTGCCTCTGGACTCGGGACGGTGCGGAGGATCAAAGAAACCCCGTCCGAGGCGGGCCAGCGAAGGCCCGGCCGAGGAGCCGTCCGCGTCTTGCCGGCTTGTAGCCAGCCACGCTCGGGACCAGCATGGTGGAATCCGGCGTGCCACGAATGCAGTAAAAATGTGGTCGGTTTCTGTGTGAAGTGTTGTCATTGCTCTTCTTTCGTTCCCGAGCTCCCCTCTCTTGAGGCGCACCTCCGCGAGCCCCAGGCCGGAGGCCGCCACCCAGCCTCGTCATCCTGGGCCGCGCGGGGGCCTTGGCCGGGGTGACTAGGGTGACCTCCTGGGTGACCAGGAGCCCGGCGTCCTGGGCAGCCGGCGTCCCCTCATTGTTCAGCCTCTCTCCGTATTGATTCGCCCACGTTGTGCAATGAGAAAACACTCTATGGCCTCACGGCTCGACCCAACCTGACAAGAGAAATATAATTATGTGAGATTTCGTAAGCAAAACCACCACAAATTATGATCGGGCTGACTCACACGCGACTGGAGAATAAACAAACAGCAACATAAGGAAATAACTCGAGGGTTGTTTTTAATGAGTCCCATGTGGGGAAGTCCGCCAGTATTGGGAGGGCTGGGTGCCCTTGGAGGAAATGGGTTTTGTTACATAAAGCTGGGTGCTTGTGGTAATAGCAGCACGTCTGTAAAGTTGGGGAGGGGGGTCGCAAGTCAAGCCAAGCCGGGCAACACCGTCCTGCTGCCTAGCACCAGGGCACGGAGGGCCCTGGATCCTTCCCTTACCAGGGGACAGGCTGTCTCTTCTGCTCTGCCTTTACCACCTGAGTAAGCTTAGGCCCTCGGCTGGCTGGGGGGAGGGCCTGGACACAGCACTCCCTCAGGCCGGGTCTTTAAAGAGGATCTTCAGTTTACCAAACACAATAAACACGGACTACCTCCCGCAGCCCACGGTCTGAACAACACCGAGGCCGTCAGGGCTGTTGGAGAGGGGTGAGCCCAGGGAACAAACAAGCTCATCAGTTCTCACCACCCAAATATCTGAAACCTTTAACTCTTGAGCCACCCTCAGAGCTGAGGTATCCCTAACACACCAGGGTGGCAGTCGGCTCGGTTGGGGGGGGGAGGGCGGGGGCAAGGGGGGATGTAAATTTGCATAGGACTTCAAGTTTAACGGTGAGGGAATGATCTAAAAATTCTGTCCCATCTACCTGCTTGAAGAGCCTGGGAAAGCTTTTAGATATTCCACCCCCCGCCCCCACCCCGGGGGGAATGCAGCACTGTCTGGGAACCTTTTGGGTTTTCTTTGGGTTGGATTAGCAATGCAAATGTTGGGTGGCCTGCAGACCCTTGCGGGAACCGGCCAGGATGCTCCAAGCTCGTTCCAAAGCGCAATGTTATATATCATTAGAGGGGAAACCATTAAGTAGATTTATTGAAAGAATGTTTCTTCGGCACAAGGAGATCTTTTTGATGAAAAATGGAACTCATTATTCTTTAAAGGACACAGATTGACTTATCTCCTTTATCAATTACAGTGTCTGCTTTCAGCTTTTCTCAATCAGCAGTGGGCTTTGTAGTCACTTCCCAGTGCTGAGGCCAATGTGCTTTATGAGAAAGGTTTGTTTTTACATTTTAATTGGAAATACAATATTGCACTTTGGAACTCTGACCATCCCTTTCCAGTACAACTTGCCAAAGATCGATGGTGAGACACCACCAATTGGGCTGTGACAGGGTAGTCCTCCCTTTCCTGGGGTGATGTATCCGAGTCGTCCTAGCATTCTTCTCCGCAGCCAACCTTCTCAACAGTGAGTTTTGTTGCTGTCGTCGATAGCTTCAACCAAATTCCTGCACCATAAAATAAAAATAGATGAATGAAAAACTCAACGTATTACACAGAAGTTTTCAGGACTCCTGGTAACCTTGGAAATGTGGTCCAGACCAGTTGATTAGTGTTTCATCCAGCTGCAGGTGAGTGGTCACCGCCCAGTTTGTTCTGTACCTTTTAATGTCCAGAGGCTGCTTGTTATCATTATGGCCAAGGATGATAGAAAACCTAACAGTTTTGCACTCAGAGCTAAGAAGTCATTAATGGCAAAATCATATATGAATTTGTCTTTGTGTTTCCTCTAACTTATCCCACCATGATATAGGTACCTGATAAATGTATAAATGATACATTGAATATATGCAAAAATGGGTAAGTGAATGATCTACCGAAGGGATAGATAAGCTTGTTAAAGAAATAAACTTTAAATCTCACTGCTTAACATGACACAGAGATAGTCACTCATGATCATGTATGGCATCCCTGTTGCTAACATTATTGTACCTTCAACCCAGGGGGACTGTGGCATTTTTTAATCCAAAACATGGTAGGTTCAAAAACACCCCTACTTCAGAGGACTTTGGACCCGTAGAAACTCACTATACTATCCTGCCCCCCATCTTCCCATTTCTGCATTTATATTCCTTCCCTAGGCTAGCAGATTTAATGCCAATGCCCGCTCCTAGATACATTCCTACATTTCCATAATCACAGATATGTGTCTCATGAGGAGGAACCTTGTAACATATGGTTCAGAGCAAAGACTTCCTTAGACTCCGTCAAGCCCCGTCTATTTCTGGCAGACACCACCCAAGTTCAATCTCACCTTGCCAAGACTCATTTAAAAATTATCTCGTTAGGGAAGCTCTCCTCTATGTTCTGACCTCTTAACTAAAAGCTCCTTTGGATCCCCAGCAAGCTCTGATATATGCTGGGAATGCAGAAAATAAATAAACAAATGATACTACTTCCACCTGAAGGACCCACCTTCTAGCTGGAGGGAAAGACCCACAAGGAAATGAGCACTGAGACTGGAGCATTTTGTTTTCAACCACTGCACGGGAGCTCGATGTTCACCTGCTCGTTCCCATCAGTCACTTCTTCCCTCCATCTTACATGCTTTGGGCAGTGTGCTCTATTCAGGTGACACTGTCAAAAAGCCACCATCTGTTTTCTCTCTAGCAATATTATCTTATCTCACCTCCACCCCACATGCCCCAGATGTCCATGGATGGCCCCCACCTCCCAGCCTCAAAGGTACAGACAGCAGATGAAGAAGCTCTTTAAGGCCCCCTCCCTACACTCAGGAGGCAGACCAACCAAAGTGATCGTATCTCCTGGCCTGGGAACAGTGCCCATTTGAGTATGTAAATGTTTATTGAATAGATGAAAGACCCTAAAACCCCTGCCATGATAGATTTGCCGGTCTAACTGGATCAGCAGTGAGCTGGATGCCTGGACAGAGAAGTCTGGCCTCTTGGATGGAGTCTCCCGCCCGCGAATAAATTCTAGTTGCCCTTCTGTTAACGTATAGCCTTGTTGAAGTCATTTCAGCTTTTCATCCAAAAACAATAGGGGCAAGAATATGCAAGAGTCAGTGGCCTATTTTTTAATGTGCACAAGTTGTGAAAGTAAATACAATCTTTCAGTCAAATTCAGTGGGTAGTAGAGAAAGAGCCATGGGCTAAGAGTCAAGTGCCCAAAGACCCGGTTCAGACACAGATGGGACCCTGGCAAGAGATCTAGCCTTCCTGGGCCCCACTTTTCACATCTATAAAATGATGGCCCCTGAGAGCATTACAACTCTAAATGTATACTGCCATTTATACCTCTATTACTAGTGGTATGCTTATATTCAAATTTGGTGTCTAATATGTGGATTTTTTTTTATGAAATACCTGCAAGGAAAACACCACTCTTTTGTCAATTTGGAGTCTGTTGGTTGTAAGCTATAGAAACCTATTCAAGCCAGCAATGGGGAACTTGTTTTAAAGGTACAGGGGTGTTTCACAGAACGTAAGGGCAGAAATGCAGATGCAAACTGGAGCCAGGAAGTAGAAGGCTGTGGGGAAACCAGGAAGCTCTCTTTCTCCCTGTCTCTTAATTCCCCTCCTCCCTCTGAATGTCTGAATCATCTGTCTGCACACCAGCTCCTGCTTCTCAAGTGCACATATCAGAGAACATGGCTACCAAGAGAACCCAAGTTTACAGCCACCTGAGGAAACAATGAATCTCTCTTTTGAGTTCATTCCTCTAATCAAAGGAAGGAACCCCTGATTGGCTCACCTTAGACCAGTTGTTCACCTCTGGCCCACATTGTGCAGATATGGCTGCCTCATTCTACCCCTGTGGAGCAGGGCAGGGTAGTCATCAGAGAAGAATCACTGTCTTATGAGACAACCCAATAGATATCTGCCTTGACTACTTCCCAGGGGGCAAGGCTCGTTATAATCATGTGCCAGTTCTTACTTTCAATGTAAACAGTGAAGCTTCAATAACTGACAGTCTTCCAAATGTCATAGATTGGTCTCAGGTTTGTGAAGGATGTACCGTTTTGTTTGGTTTTGTTTAATCCTTTCAAGTCTTCGTTTTCAAGGGTCTGATGGACCACAAAGCTGTCCTGAATAAACCCTGAAACTACCTATGAGAAAAAATTTAAACTTTCCAGTGATCCCAATTAGTATATTTTTAAAGCCTCCTTTCCTGTAGCACACATAATGAGAAACATAGGCAGTAGAGTAGTCGTCCGTCCTCAGTGATTTCTATAAAACCAGAAGACCAAAGGCCACTTCCCTGCTTTTGTAATCCTGAGAGGATTTTAACTGTAAAGGGATTCCTGATTTTTACAATGGAGGTGAGTAGAGATGGAAGCAATCTTGGTCTGACTTTCTTTCAAATTTTACTCATAAGTTTTCAAGGGAGCCCAAAGAAGGGAGGAGATTTGGTTATTTAAGTGGATGCATCGGAGGAGGCAGAAAATAGGATCAGAAATTTGAATTCTGAAGTGAAGTGGGTGAGAAAGCCACGCTGCACTGGAAAAGAATGAGGAAATGGGAAGTTCTGGAGAAGACATTTGTGACCAGAACAGACTAAGTGTTCCCTGTAGGTAAGTCTTTAAATGCCTGCCCTTTAGCTTGGGGAATGAGTAGTCAAAATCTTCTGTTTCCCCTTGAGCCTGCCCCTAAATCTTCTACATGGATAGTAATTTCCAGAAGGGTGTTTGGTCACTAGTCCTTCCTCATCCTCTGACTGCAGAGGAAGGAACTAGATCTCTCACCAACTCAAGGTGATTATTAAGCGCCAGGCAGAAGTTGGCCCTTTGGTCATAGCTGATACCAGAGAAGGTCAGAGCCT